CATTTCCGCCTTTTTATTGTAAATACGCGTAAGCAGCTGGCAAGTGGGCGCCCGAGCAGGAACTGATGCAGGAGCTGAAGCAGAAGCTGTTGCCATTGTACATTCTACATTGTCCATTGGGTCATAAAATGGCTTCCGGTTATGCTTGAAGTAAGATTAACTTGTCGTTTGCAATTTCTCTTTGATTTGTTTCGAAAAAGGGGACCCAGCTAGGCCAGCGGGGGTTGGGGGTTGGGCACGAGCTTGAGGTCGAGGTTGAGTTGTTGTTCTCTTGTTTGGGGCTGTGCCTGTTGCTCGCCTTCGGTTTCGCTTTCATCTTGCCCAAACACACCCTACACTAAGCTGTACCAATTTTTTGTTACATGCCCAAAAATATATTTATAGATTTTATTCTTGTTACTTGATTACTTGTTATTCGATCAAATGAAGCGTGTGAACTTTGTCCAAAAATTAAAAAGAAAGGTTAAAGTTTATTTTAGCTTGTTACATTTTTGCTAGCATTCAACTTTGAAACAATAACAAACTTTACTCGCTGCAAGCACTTAACTAAATTTTAAATTTTGTAAAACTTGAATGCATAACATCTGCCCCAATTGTTAGGTCCAACAAACATTTATTGTTATTCGTTTACTCGTTAAGAAAATACCCCTTACATGGTTAGACGTAACTTAAAAGCTGTCTACTTGATTACTTGGCTTCTTTTCAATGTGGGGATTCTTAATTGGCAACCAATCAAATGGTTGCTGTTTAGTCTATAAATCGTTACTCTTGCTCGTTACTCCAATGACTATGTACGTTATTACTCGTTAAAGTTCTCCTTAAATCTTGATGACTCGTTACTTCTACACTCGCTATATGCAATATTCAATAAATACGAGAGTTCCTTACTTGCGGACTCGCTTTTTAAACACTTTTTCTTCAAACACTCGATACTTGATGGCTCGTTACTCGATTAGTCGCTAGCTCGTTACTTGTAACTTTAAGTCTAGGCAAATGCATAAAAGTAACTGAATAAAGCTTAAGGCAGCTTTTATTACAGCTTTTTTATTTTATTTGTGTTTAACAAGAACACAAAAAAAGACTTTAATCGCTGCAAGAACCTTGTAAATTGATTTTTGTGGTTAAAGTCGAACATAGGGTAGCTGTGACGTCGTCCAACTGCATGGACTTACGCCTCACTCCACGTGGAGCCGTGTAATTTTTGTATTCTCGTTATTTGGCAATTCGTACAAATTGATTTATAACGATTCATTTTGGGAGCAGCTGCTGGGCGAAAGCTCACGCCAGGAAGGAGCTGCCCGCTTCGTGGCGAGACGCAGGTGTGAGTTTTACTTGTTCAGAAATTGTTTTATGTGCTCTCGCTTTTTCGGGCAGCAACCAAGTCAAGCCGCGTGCATTGTGTGCGGCCAGCCCCATTTGCTCAGTGGGCTGGTCTCTAATTCGGCCACGGCTATCACAGAAGTGTGCTCGGCTTTCACTTTCCTAAAAATCAAAACAAAAAAAAGAAAGGAAAAACAAAAATCTGGCACAAGTGCCGGCACAGCTACCCACTGTGCAATTAAGCCACGCAATCAGAATGCAAGATGAAGGCTTCGCTCTTCAAACAATGGCGGCCAGAGCCGCTATGTTGACAAAATGGCGGCCGCAAGCTGCAAAGTCAACAAATGCCGTTGCATGACAGACCTCACTGGTTGTTGTTCTGCTTCTTGTTCCTGTTGTTGGTGTTGTTGTTGTCGTTGGATTACACTTTTAGGGACTGTTGGTTTTGTGTACCCTGTTTAAAAGCGCATTGCCCTGGCAACTGGCAGTCCTTCCCAGAAGTATCTCTCGTCACTTCACCTGTCAAATTAATTGACTAGACCCTTATAACCTTTGTGCAAGGTGAAAATTTAGGAAAATGCTTCGATTATTGTAAATTGTATGCTTTTATTTATCAACGGCTGTTTGAAAGGTTTATATTATTGTATTTATTTATTTTGTTTCAATACGCTTAAAATTCCAAAAGCAATTCGATTTCAATATCAGAATATTTAAAACATTGATATTGATATTGATATTGATATTGATATTGATATACTTATATAAATATAAAAAAAACTAAATTAAAATTTAACGGATACTTTCGGACATTATTATGCTAAGCAATTGAGTAGCAATGAGTAGTACTCGAGAAAGAATTCTTTGTGAAAAGCTGCTATAAATAACTCTTAAAAACTATTACATTGAAAGGGTATCATCAAGTCGATCTCTAGATACTTTAACAATTTATTTAGACAACAAAAACAGGGATAAGTATGCTAAACAATTGAGTAAAATTAAGTGATACTCAAAAAGTACTCATTTTAGAGCTGGGAATCTTAAAAGTGCGCTAATAAACTGTTTACCATCGAATTACTTAGGGCTTATATTTGAAACAGATTCCATTTTTCGTTAAGCTTACACATAGCATTTATTCCCTTAAGTAGTACCAAAGATAATGTATGGAATTTATTTTGTCTTCTAAAGTACTCAAAAAGTACTTACCGGAATTAAACCGGAATTCCAAAAAATTGTTAATCACAGTAAGCCAAACTTTGAACTTACTAAAGAAAGGGCGAACCTTAGTCTGAGCCCTGATAATTAAATATACTCGTTCTACCCATTTTTAGCATGTTCAGCGTATAAATAAAATGCCAAGGCTGATTAGAAGTGTGTCCAAATAACTTATGGAAATTATTTAGGTTAGTTTCTTTTCAGTTAAAGCTGTCGCTATGAAGTGCTCTATTATATTTCTTGGTAATCGAGTTTATTAGAAAGATTTTATTTATTAGTCTAAGCTCAATTTTTACTTTGCAGCTCTGATACTTTGTAAGGTCCAGCACATTACAGGGAGCCCGCAATCCTTTAAAAGGGCAGAAAAATACGTGCATTCAAAACATTCCCAACCAGATGACCCTCTGACGTCGGGACACACGTTGGGACGGACGCGGCAAACTGTGATGGGCATGGGATCGGAGAGCGGCAGAACGGAACTGGCTAATGTGACGGAGAACTATTGCTGCTTTTGGGTGTATCAGGGTCACCCGGCGTTGCCGGACATCTGGGAGCATCGCAAGGAATATGCATTTGATTTCCTATTCAATGGCAAATTCGAAAAGAATCGGCGCAACTATCAGGAACAGCTAGTTCGTCCAATCAATTGAACCACTGAACCATGCTTAAATTAAACCTACGGCACATAGTTTTGCTTACACATCAAATTATAATTAACTTTGTCCAACCATAGAGACCTGGCCCGAAAGCTGTCTTCAAGTTGAAAGTCCTGACAGCACATAATAGATTTGACACATTATAATCAGGTTTGCATAGCATCAACCGCTCGGCAGGCGGTCGGAGTCGTTAGCCACAGCAGGGCCATTGACAGGGCAAGCTGAAGAGCTGGTTGAGATGATGAGCAGCTGATGATAGCTGACTGCCTGAAGGCGCAAAGATGCAGATATCAAACTTGGACTTATTCGGTCACTAAGTTGCTCGACGTTGTTGATGTTGCTGCTCATGCTGTATCTATTTAAAATAGGCATAAGGGGTATAATGATTTTGTGGAAAGCTAGGCAACAAGCCTCTGTGGAGAAACATAGCAGCAGCATAAAGTCGCAGCTAGCGGCATGCGTATTTGAATGTGTGTGTATATCTGTCTGCTGATGTATTAAAACAACTTCGAATGTGTGCAAGGTCAGCTCAGCGCTGGGTTAAGGGTATCACCAAGTCGGTCACTCCCAAAAAAACACTTTTGCTTGTTGTTGTAGTTGTTGGACAGGAGTTCATCAACTGATAAGCAGGCAGGTAGTGAGACTAGAGCCTCATGTCTGGGCATTTACTTAGTTAATTAAATTCAACTTCTTTGAGTACAGAGAAGCAAGCGCAACTTGAGTGCGGCAGGAGGCGCGCCGGACATGTCTTCGTCCTCCTCCCCCTCTGTGGAGTTGCTTGGACTTGCCAGAAGTTTGCACAACTTATTTGTTCATATCGTAGTTAAATTATCCAATACCCCAAAGTCTGTTTGCATTTAATCTGGAATTTTTCTCTCCGCTTTGAGTGGTAGTTGATAATTGCGACCGGTACTCAAGTGCAACAGCTCCCAAGTCCAATTGCATAATTCATCAGGCAAGCCTGAGTAATTTGCTGCTTCAATGCTTAATGAAAATGCTGGGAAAAAGATTGAAATTTTCTTCAGTTGTTGGCACCTATTGGCAAATAAACTGCTACTTCATATGCTGGACCTGTAAATTGCATTTGACTCTCAACTGAAACTTCTCTCGAGCAACACTTCAGCTCTGAGTGTGCGTGCATGTGTGCATGTGTGCATGTGTGCAAATAATTCTCAACTGAATCGAATTCAAAATAATTCAAAGCTTCCAATGCTCTTACAGAGTGAAGTGTTCGTCGGCCACTCTTGAATTTAACTAACAACGCATTGTAAAATCGATAAATAATATACAGTTTGATTCATATATTCGTTGGTCTCTTACGATTATCATTATACATGGGGATGTGCGCTCTGATCGATGATGCGTAATTCATTATTAATGCATATTTTCGATATGCATATTTGCTGATAGCAACTCTGCCCGAAATGAGTATAAATATATAAATTCTATATATTGCTTGATTAATTTCAGAATCAGCTAAGTTTGTAATAAATATTTAAATATTTCTAATGGTTAACAATTCGTTATTAAATATACATTTAAAATTATATATCATAGACACCAAAATAGTAGTCAAGACACAAACCACTTAACGCACTCAACGCAAATTGGCGAACCTATCGATATCAGTGCGCACTTATCGTGAGCAGCTGCCTATCGATCGAACAGCTGATTCGCGTTTAGTTTCGCGCGCGAATTCTACAAGTTGCGGTTTGGTGTCGCGCGTGCCGAAAATAAATAATTGTTTATCAATTTTAATAAGTGTAATTAGCTATAACTGCGTGTTTAAGTGTGTGCTTGTGTTTATAAATCATGTCTGTCTTGTTGGCAGACATAGACGCCACTTGCGCAGCGCTGGGCGTAAGCGATGGCAAGCGCTATCAGGCGGAGCCCGATGCGGCGGAGGGCTTAAAGGTAGGCACAGCGTTTTGGGGCAATCGGAAGCCACTTGAACTAATATTTCTTTTATAATTATGCAGCATTTAATTTGGATATTGCGTCGTGATCTGGATAATCACGAGTATCGTCGCCATTTGGGACGCGCCAAGGTGCTGCAAACGGATCTTGTATACATGCTGCCCGATTATGTGCAGCATGAAGAGCTGGCGGATCTGCTGATACGACTGCTGGTCATATTGACCAATCCGACGCTGCTGCTCTATCGCGAGGGACCGCCCAAAGATAATCACGGGCGCAAAGTGTTCCTTGAGTTAATTGACATACTGCAAGGCTATAAAGTAGCCTTTGCCAAGGATAAAATCTGGACAGCTCTGTTTGACAAGCTCAAACAAGCATTGGAAATTGTAAGTCATAGAACTTGTAAGTTTTTTAAGTATTTAGCAATATACATGTATATATATAGATATATATATATATATTTTAAACAATTGATATCAAATAATCAAATGAAGAAACAGCAACAATCATGAGCACGAGCAACTCGGGTGAAGGCACCGACAGCAGCAGCAGCGACACGGATGAGGAGGAGGAGTCCTTTGACAACAGATACTACACCTGCCTAGTGTGTATGCGCACCGCTCGACTGCCGCGCGTCACCTTTTGCGGTCATGTCTTCTGCACCGATTGCATTGGCAAATGGATCACATGGCAGGGCAGCTTTGCCAAGTGCCCGTATTGCCAGTCCCGCGTAGGCAGCAATACGCTGATCACGGTGAATCATGCGAGGAATGGCATTCATGCACTTGGACGCTATACGCGCTGCAAATCGATTGCACAGCATCGCCATTTTGCTGAATCAATTGCCATGTATGCAACGGTGCCCGAAACCTCCATGTTTCTGGGCGCCTATATTGAGCGACCGCCGGAGCTGATGCCGCGCATCAAGCCTCTGCCGGAGCAGTTGTTGCGGGATGTGTCTAAGCGTCAAATACGACGCACCTTTCTGAATGCGCCTGTCTATCAGCGAGCCCTAATTGTGGTCATACTGTTTTATATGTTTGTCGTATATCTTAATGCAGATGGCCCAATCTAAGAAAATCCAGATCTGTTCTATTTGTAGTTGAAATGTTTGAAATAGATGTCCAATATAACCTGTAGCATTTTCCCATTTGCCGTTAATTAATGCTATTTAAATGGGACTATAGAAGAGCAGTGGCTATAGGGGAAGCCTAGGCAATTAACGTCCTGGCATTTGCACAACTATTTCTCTGTAATCTTTTATGGACCTTACGACCATTAATGTGGCAGCGGTCCGCGTAAAACTTTTAATGGCTCTCCTGCAGCTGCCAGGAAGCTGTTGGAAAATTATCTTAATACTCGCGCGAAGAGTATAACAATTTTGTCAGGAAATATGTAACGCATTGCTGAAGATATTTTGGATGCAAGGAATATATACATTATTATATAAGCTTAACTATGCCAAGCAAATTAACAAAATGTCTACCTCGAATTTGTATCTATTTTTCTTCTTGTTTTTAGTGATATTGCAACCAACCTCTCAAATTTTAGGCTCACAACACTTTTCTAATAGTTGACATTAATCGCTTAAGATCCAGACTTTCAATACATCTTGCCAAAGGCGATCTTAACTATATTTTTTAAAGTTTGGGCAGATACGCATCGATATCGGATTCTTATATATATGATATAGATGATATAACTTCTATAAAAAACAATGAATACAAATTTGAGTTTTCTGTTTGGCTCCTTTGTCTTTGTTTTTAAAGATATTTTTATTTTGAGCTTTATTATGCTTACAATGTTTAAGCTAAATCTAATCATAAGAACTATCGGTAGAAAATCAAAACCTTGCTGAAAATATTTTAAGCAGGACCGATCTACGCTCCGCTCTCAACATAAAATCATTATCTTATTAATGTTCTTTTCATATTATATATAGTGCAGAGAGAAAACGACAGCAAGGGTATTTCATATTCTGGTTGCGTTTACCCATTTCTCCACTACGCTATTTGCTTTTCGTTTTGGCTTATGTTTCTGGCACTGAAGCTGGCTTTTGGTCCTTGTGCTTCTTTTGTGCGCTTCATAACTAATTTGAACTTCATTTACTATCTGTGTTTCATCTATGGCTAAAAGCTATTCAGCATCATATATCTATATATACTTTTTCGTAACCCTTGATAAGCCGCAGCAGGAGCAGAGCGAGCGAAAACCCTTGTCGATATGCCCTTTGAAGTTGCCCCCGCAAAACGTGTCAAAAATAATAAAATGTTAAGAAAAAATTTAATTTTGTAAAAATCACACGAAATCAAATCGACGCCAGAAACTTTTTAGCTTTGCGCCAAGAAAAAACCGCAACAAGTCGAATTTAATAAACACTCCCGCAAAAAAAGAGAAAAATGAAAATGCGAAAAAGTGAAAAGCAAAATGCGTGGGGGAAAGTGCCAGCAGGCACCTTCAAATCAAACGCGTCGCTTCCCGACAAGCAACTCTGTGGCTTTTCTAGGCGTCATCCACATGACCAGTGTCACAGTGGGTGCTAAAAAGTAGGCTACATAGCTGGCAACCACAAGAGCAACAACAACAGGAATTTGTGGATACAATTTGTAGCATTTTGTGTGAATGAATGTCTGAGCATGAAATGTTTTCAATTGCTAAATTGTAAGTGAAAAGAAATGAATACACAATGAAAAAGAAAAAAAAAATGGAAGAAAACATGAGGAAAATGAAACACTTTGCCCAGCGGCTGAGTATTAAGTCGAATAGGAATGATGAAAAAGAATGCGTGTCTGATTTGTGTAAGGGAAACGGAAATAGAAAATCATTTGACTTGCATGTTTAATGTGAACAAACAGAAAAAGTTTTCAGTTGCTTTCGATAGAACTTTTTAATTGACACTAGACTAGAAACAAAATCAAATAGATTTTAACTTAGTTTTCCTCCTTAATAGTGGAATTCTCTGATTCAATCTTTTTGTCAGGGCGGCGGAATCTTTGATATAAGTCTTTCTTGTTTTTACTACGGTTATCGTTATATCTTATCCTGAACCCATTAAAAATGGGTATTTGTGCAAAATGTAAATGTATGTAACAGAAAAAAGGAAGCATCTCCGACCCCATAAAGTATATATATTCTTGATCAGCATTAATAGCCGAGTCGATCTAGCCATGTCCGTCTGTCCGTCTGTCCGTATGTATGAACGCAAGGATCTCAGAACCTATAAGAGCTAGAGACTTGAAATGTATTGTAAATGTAGGTGCTCCTAGTGCCTGCGCAGATCGACTTTTTTCCGTTAATCGATAACTTACTCCGTTTCCAAGCAATCGATAAAAATCGATATCGTTTTTTTTGTAGATCCTTGGAAACGAATTTGAGGTCGAAACATCATCCACCAAGTCTTTGACCCCTATTTCCACCAAGGAGGGATGCATTTTTCGAAAAGCGTGAAAAACCCCTCAAATGAATTTGAGCAAAGATCTTTGAAAATGAGTTTGAGGCCGATCAGATGATAAACGAAAAAGTTGCATACAATCGTTTTTCGCGATTTTCCCACACTTGCGGGGGTAATTTTTCAATACCCCGTCTCAACGTGCACCTTCATCACATAATGTAACTACTGTGAAAATTTCAGCTTCCTAGCTTTTACAGTTTGGGCTGTGCGTTGATCACCAATCATTCAGTCAGTCAGGACAGTTTTATGTATAGAGATTCAGCTGATCCCATTTAATATGGAAAAGACTACGGTTTCTGAATAGATCTAGCGATATCCGTCTGTCTTTGTATGAACGCGGCGATTTCAGCAAGTGCCAAGTCTATAGGCCTAAAATTTTAAATATATATTTACTCGTTTACCATTCGGTAAATTGTTCCCATTTTTGGGTGCCCTATCTAGGCCTCGAAAATTTGATACTAATCGGACTATAAATACCGAAGGTATTTAGGCATGCATTTCTCATAGTGTGGATCAAATCAAAAACTTATATTCATGCTGTTTTTTATATCGATTGTTTCTAACGGCAGCTTGGCGCTTGGTTCAAGGTAACTCCTAGTGGAAACTTCCGACTAGGATAAAATAAATTTATTTATTTTCGGAAAAAGGGTATATAAAAAGTAGATATTTTTGCACAGGACCCAAAACCAGTTACATTGGCAATTATCGGCATTGAATGGGTTAAAATTTAGTGACTGCAAAAATGATGTTGATACTGTGTAATCGCAGTTGCAACATGGCAACACACACACACACACACACACTCATAGGTTCTCATCGTTGTCTGCCACACACTCGCCACACTCCGCTCCCTTGAAAGCTGCTCCTTCTGGCAGAGCGAAATAAATTCATTTAAAGCCGATTGAATCGACATTCATAACACTCCGGGGAGCAATTCCAAAGGATTTTCATGGTGCTGCGCAGCCAGCGAAAGAGTCGCCAGAGGATTTCTTTAGATTTTTATACTTTTTTTTTGAACGTACGTTTTTTAGGTTAAATGCTAGCGAATTTCTACATGAATGCTGTCTCCCTCACTCTCTCTTTTCTTATTGCTGTTGTTGATAATGAATGTGTGGGCGGATTGGTATGCCCTTGGCTCTTGGTTTCCCGGCTGACTTTTTATGCTTTACTTCCTTATTTGCGTGGCTTCGGCCTCGGCTTGTATGCTTTGATGTATGCGGCACGGCGTGGCAGGAAAGTGGACAACCAGAGGGATGGGGGGATGGGGTCGACAGCTTTTTTGGGCCTGTTCCTGTTGTTGTTGCGTAGGGTAACCAAAAGCGGAAGTCATTATTAACTTTGGCCTTTGAGCAAGGCGCTGAGGCTCAGCTTTTGGGATGCCTGTGTTCATGTCCAATGTGGGAGGCAGGAGCAGTAGCTGGCGCTGGATACGCAGTCACAGCTGGCTTGTAGGCACAAAAGCCGCATTAGTTGTATTTATTTGTAAGCCAACAGCAGTAACTGCTGCTCTCCAGTTTGCCCGGGCAGTTCCTCGCCCGAACCGACGCAAATTGATTTCAACTTGACTTTGCTGTGGTGCCAACTCTCCGACTCCGACTCCCACTGCTGCTGCCTTTGCTGCTGTTGCTCCAGCTGTGGCCCCTATTTGGGCTTCCGTTTTACAGTCGAGCTACATAAATTTGCAATTTAATTTAATTTAATTTCATTTGATTATTTTAACTTGTCTCGCGGGATTTGCTGCTTAGATTTTTACACTGGGATTTGCCGCAAGACATTTTTATTATTTTGACTTTTAATGCGAACCTCCCGCCCATTTTCTCATCCTATTTTTAGGCCTTTGCCATACGCAGCGAGGAGCAGAATCTTCTGATTGAACGAATCCTGGTGCTTGTGCGCAATGTGCTCCAAGTGCCAGCAAATCCTGAGGCCGAGTGCCGTGCGGACAACGATGCCAGTCTGCACGATCAGGTAATTTGGGCGCTGCATCAGACAGGAATGCTGGATTTGGTGCTCTTTATAGTCTCCTCGCCGGATGAGGAGCAATTTCATTTGCATGGACTCGAAATCATTTGTCTATTGTATCGCGAACAGGTAAGCCGCTGCTGCAAACTCTTCTTGCATGACTTGTCTTATTGTTAAACTTTTCCTACTTGCAGAGCGCCGAGTCCTTGGCGGATGCTTCGCTGCAGCGCAGCCTCAGCGAGAAGCAGCGCGATCAGCAGGAGCTGCTCGCTGCACGTCGGCGTGAGATGGCCCGCCGTCAGGCTCGCCCGCCGCCCGGTCGACATTCGCGCTTTGGGGGCACCTATGTTATACGCAACATGAAATCCGTCTCGGACCGGGATATTATTTGCCATCAGCCGCTGCAGCGTGTCTCCGCCATGGATTTTGATCGCGAGAAGCAGGCGCAGAAGCGTTCCCATCGCCATATCAAGGAGGAGGCGCAGGTGACGCGACGCAGTGCTTTTACTGTCAGGTAAAGTTTTGCATATACACACGTTCATATACATTAATATTATTAAAATATTTATTATTACTTAACTTTACTTAAGTATAGGATATATTTACAAGCTGCCAACCTAACTTTGCGAATTGCCATGGCTAAGACAATATTAGCCTGTGCCTCAAAAAGTTTCTAATTAAATAGTAAGAATAGAACCTTTCGCCTTTTTTCGTGAATATGCTTGAAAATTTTTTTTTCAAATTTAAATGAAGCAGAGTTCATAGTAAATTGAAAGTAAAGTATAATTTTCTAAATTCTCGCTGTCAGGTCCGTTTGCTTGTTAAAGAGATTAGTTCGCATAGAAACAGACAGACTGTCTATCTTTCAATCTAGAATATATACTTAATGGCGTCTGGGACGGTTTCTTATATTCGTTACACATTTCGTGACAAATTTGTAATACCATTACAAGAGTATACCAACATTTGAAGTGATTACAGCTATAGAGCAATTCAAGCTGTGATCAGGTTCGATATAATGGAACTGCAACTGGAACTGAAATTTATATACATATATTATTTCTGAAAACGGTTGTATGTAAACCAATCCACACTTCTTTTGGATATGTTTCGGTTTGGCCTTGGTTCACACTGTTTCATATATATTCTTTTAAATATATAGTTCGCTTTACGATTTGTTTAAGCGAAAAATATAATATTTGATTGTTCGAGATGGAACTTCGTTAGAAAACAGGCATATAAAGATATGGCTCTATCTCGCGCATACTAGCCTCCATTTGTCTGCGGCAACTTCCTGCACTTTGACTGAAGTCTATTGTGCGGGGCCATGGATGTGGCCATTAGCATCGGAATTGTTATGGTTCGACTGGCAGGCCACATTCCGGTCATTGATTTTCGATTTTATGAAGCCGAGCGAGCGCATAAAATAATATTCAATAATAAATGAAGGCATTTCCTTTTAGACAACCCGCGCCCAACTGCTGCTTGTCTTATTTTATAGAATCACCCAAACGATATTGGCTGCTGTTCTGCTGTTTGGCTTGCCACGGCTCTAGCTCTGCCTCTGGCTTTGGTTCTGGCCGAGTGAGCTAAGCGAAACAAAGACGTGGCCATTTTAAAGGCGCCGGTTGGCCAACGTCTTTGCTGTCGCCGCACTCCCTAATGGCCACCAGGTGCAGCTATTTTATGATTTTCTCCGTACCAACAAACTACTTAAAGGATATGCGCCAACGTTGCACAGGATACCCAGTGTTGCTTGGGCTTCGGCTTGGGCAAAATGCATTGGGTTTTATACTCTTTCCCATACTAAGGTTTGCAAAACTTTGGCAAAAGTTTTGCCATGAAAATTTAGATGTATAACAAAGTTACAAGTTTTTAAATCGGATATTTTAGATATATGAGCAAAAATCAATTCTTTATGATTCAATATACTTATGTAAATGTGCTTAAACAATTCTAAATTACAATAAATTTTGTAATTATAGCTGCAGTTTTTAATCAAGTTAATGTGCGATGCTATTAACACATAATTACTGGTTAATTATGGCGTCCTTTGCCAAAATACGGCCTATGAAAATGTATATTTTTAACTTTCAAAAATGCTATTTATAACACAACTACCAAAGTATGTTGCCCAGTTAGAGTTATTTTCTTTAGAATGTCCAAGCTTTTACGTTTAGCCAGAGTAGAAAAGTAATTAACAGTTTGCGTAGGTAAATATTTAGTAATTAAAGCTTTAATTTTGCCAATTAAATATTTACTAAGCAATACTTTCAGCGCGATTACATAGGTAATTATTTGCTGATAATTACTAAGTAATTAGTCTGTAGGCTTTAATTTGCCCAAATTGAAATTGTATTATTGCTAAAGCTTATATCCACTAAGCAAGTCGTTCAAAATTAATTAACAGCATTCGATGTTAATCACTTAATAATAATTCAGTAATTTATGCTTTAAATTGTTAAAAATTAAACTTTTATTTCTGTAGAGCATCTAAAGTTCGACTAATGCCGCGATGCAGCTCGCAGTTGTTGTTGCGATTTGTCGTCCGGCAGCCATAAAATGCTGAGCTAAGATAAAAATACAGCACTGGCAGCGTAATCTTGGTGGCGCCACGGCAACGACACCATCGGCGTAAACCTCTGAGCTCTGTTGGCCGTTGTAAATGTGCGAGCATTTTAGCAATGTGGGCCAACACTTTTGCTTGTTAGCCTGCTGGCAGCTGACTTTTGCTAGCTGATTGCTGGTCTGTTTTATGGGCCTGATCGTTGGCACATCCAAATCTGCTTGCCAGCCATAAATTGCTCGGGCCGGAGACTGTGATTAGACAAGTCGCTCGCCAAAAGGCCCATCAATAAGTTGGCCACCGCAAAAGATTGCCCATCTATTTGGCAAGAAGCATTTCATGCACTCTGTGGAGCATGCTCCCAAACAGCAGGCAAAGTTCATCAATGTCATGTGTCGACCCTCGACATGCAGCAGCAGGAGCAGCAGCAGCAGTTGTTCCAGCAACAATTTGTTGCCCCTCAACGCGTTTTGCAATGTTGCAAAAGCCGCCGGTTGACTACAGTTTTTTGCTGTTTTGTTTTCTTACCCATTAATCTGTGACGCGTGTGTTGCATTTGGCCTGCGGCTGGCAACTGAGGCTGAGATGCAGAGATTCGGAGATGAATGCTTCTGGTGGGAGCTGCCTCTTTTGGTCCGCTTTACTCAAATAAATTGGCCAAAGCCAATTTATTGCATAAACGCTGCCGAATGCCGTTTGTTAAATGCAAACACTTGTCAATGCATACACTGCCAAAAATGTTTTCTGAAACATAAAAAACAGTTCTAGAAATCAAATTAAAACAAAATATAACATAACTAGTTGATTCAGTAGCAAAAAGGCAAAAATGTGCACAACTTTAGAATTGAAATAACAGTTAACATTAACATTACAATCTAAAGAATAGAAAAATTTCCTAGGATTAAACACATATTTTGATTATTGACAATATTTCTATAGTATTTATAGTATTTAAAAAACTATTTCGACAGCTTTAAAAATAAGGACACAGATAAAGTAATGAAAATTATATATTAAAATAATGTCCTATTTCATTGACTTACTGACTAATAGCTTACACATGTTTTTGTGCTTTAAAGCAATAATCTAAAATCTAAGCAAAAACAGGAAGTTGAAAGTTTGTGTACACTTTTTAGTCCATGCGAGTGACTTTTAGCTCAATTTCAGAGATATTTAAGTAATCACGATAAGCGTGCTGCAAACTTTTTAAAGATGCGCTAAAATTTTGTAAGGGCAAAAGCTAAATTTATCTGCGATCAGCATCAGACATGATTTTCTTTTTTTTTTTTTTAAGCTCTACACATTAAATTAATGACTACGTGTTTCACTGATTGCGGATAGTCCAGCCAACAGGCGAAATTTGAGAGTTAAATTAATTTTAAATTTAATGAAAACAACTTTGCCCGTGCAAGGCCGGCTAAGACTTGCTGGTAGTGCATGCAGTACGTGTAGGTATATGTATGGCACTGGCACTGGCACTGGCTTTCAATCAATATTATTGTGGTATAATCATTTTTCATTTGGCATTCTGCTACGTTTTCCCATCCATTGCAGATTGTGCCTGCGCGAATATTGCATTGAGGTGCTGCGCTCCGCTTACAACACGCTGGTGCGGCAGGTGCGACGTGTCCTGGAACGCAATGCCGGCTCGTCGAGTCACGATGACTCTTATCTATTGTGGGCCATACGATTTTTCATGGAGTTCAATCGTTTGAGTGGTCTACAATTGCAGCTAGTCAGGTGAGTGTGTGTGCACGTGTTTGTGCGAGTGTGTGTGACTTGCATTTGCCAATGTCAAATGCCTGCAAATATCTTGCCGCAACTCAGATGATATGCCGTGTGCCTGACTAAAGCGTTCAAATTAATTGCCAATGATTTTGATAATGCCCATAAAACAAAGACAGAAAAGAAGGGCGAGAGAGAGTAGGAGTAGGAGTAGAGAGAGTAGGAGAGAGAGAGGAGAGAGCGAGAGAGTAGGAGTGTAAGGAAGTGGCTTGGAACCTAATGCAGGCTACAAAAATGACGTTGATGAACGAGCACTCCGGCCACATCCTGGCCCATGGCTAATGAAAAGCTAACCAAGTGGGGTCAGCTTCAATCGGTCGCGTCAGCAAATATGCAAATCTTTTGCAACAACTTTCTATGGGTTGGCTTTTAATCAAATTACTTTACACACAGTTTTCACTATATAGCAAAAGTATACGCAGTTTTTATTTGTTAGGGACTTACTCAATTTGTTATTTTCTAACAGAGTGGCCAAACAACAAGAACTACTCAACTATTAACTGTACCAGCTTATATTCTTTTAACTTGAGGTCAAATGGCACGACTGATTCCAAACAGCGTGAACCAGTGCCAATTGGCAACAAATTGACAGTGGGTTTCTATTACAGAGTTGCCTGACCTTTGTCAACGTGATAAAAGCAGAGAGGGAGAGAAAGAGAGGGTGTGAAAGGCAGAAAGATGAGTTTGAACGGGGTAGTACACTAATCAAATACAGTGGTCGCTCCAAAGTCGGTTTCATTTTGTCAGAATTTTTTTGACAATATTTTATTACAAAAAATCAGCTTAAGCAACTTTATGATTTCAATGAATACTTGAATTCTAATTAATTATATTTATTAGGTAATTCTGTTTTTTTTTTTATAAGAACGATGATGTTTTATGAATATGGGCAGCTAACTTATATTTCTTAAACTTATATTTTTGTTAAAGTGTTTAAAAACCAATGATTTTATTTTTTAAAAGCGGAATTTTGTTGTGGATCTTAAAAATTCATGGAGAAATGTGAATATAATATTTCAATTTAGTTCCGAAAAAAACCTCTCCTTAGTTTCAACACACTAAGCTTTCTAGCTGATCTTGAATCTTACATATATTTTCTCTTAAATGTTTTTTATAATTGTAAAACTAATAAATACTCTACCGATTAATCTATATTCAATGTCATAATTATCACAATATTATATCATTATATAGTAAGCTGGTTAAGTCTCACATGTGACACTCTTATGTTTCAACAAACCCAGCTCTCAAGCCGACCTTCAAGTTTATATGTATCTGATCAGCACTCGATTTAGTACTATGATTCAAGGAATACCTTCATCATTATGCTACAGATTTCACGGCACACATTTGAATACCCCGACTGTCTGAAAATGCTGCAAATAAAGTTTGTGCACCGAGAATTCCCATTTGCCATTCGCACTTCAGACAGAACATTCGGCACGAGAAATTCAGTCCAGTTGCAAATGTGACATTGCTTTGGCCACAGGACAATTTGTTTGTCATTTTGTTGGATTACTTTGGAGACATTTTCCCAGTTTGATTGCATTAACTTTTTTGTTTGGGGTTGCTGCAGACAGCGAACACATGCAGAAATCACAATCAACACGCAAAACGTTGACCTATGACACTTTACATCGTGGCTCTGGTCCCCAAAAACTTAAACACGCCCCTTTTCGTACAATCGCATATTTTAGCTATACTATATATTTAGTCCAATTGTCGCCTGGCAATTTAAAGCATTTCGCTAGCTTTGGCTCCTTGTTGTTGGCCACTTTATTGTTATACAGCTGGCTGTTAATAAAATTTTGCTGTCATTTGCTCTGTCTCTTCCTCTCTCTTTCTCTCTCTCGCTCTCTCTCGTCCCCCTCGTTCTCTTTGTCAAACTCTCACTCTGTTTCTCTGTTGGTCATTGCTCGTTGTGCTGTGTGGTGGGAAATTTCTTTAAAATTGTTTTGGTTACTTTCAAATTAGTTTCTGAATGACAACAATGAAGCTTTGCAAAAATGTTGTCATTCCGTTGCTGCAAAGTTTTCACAACCGGGCACCCTACCCCAACCGCATCCACTATCTGCCCCCTTTTCAAAACGCAAGTACCGCCGCACTATTCAAAGTTTTTGGCTAGCAGCAGTAGCTGCTGTTGCTGCTGATGCTGTTTTTCATTTTTACCATTCCTTTTGGATGTCTTTTATCATGCCTTTTTGGCGCACACTCCCTATATACGTGTATATATATTCATATATATGTATATGTTTATATACTTATGTACTACTCTTGTCGGCGCATAAAACTTTCTGTTTATTTCCACAAATGCAATTTGCCGCTGCCCGCCCGCATTTCTCAACTTTCTTTATCGTCTGCCATTTTCTACTGATTTTGCACTATATAAAGCATGGCATTGCGATAATGTATGACCGTCAAAGTGGGCAAACTTGTGTGCGTACTCGCAAAAAAAAAAATAACAAAAAAAGAAGGGCATATAATAAAAAAGTGAAATTGAGTTTGCAGTTTTGTTTAGGCTTTGTAGTTGCTCCCCCTCACCGTTCTGGCAGTTTGTTGCAAGGAATTTTTTAGACCATAAAATAGTCGTAGAGAACTTGGATTCATAGTTTTTGCCGGGTTTTGCCTCAAGTTCTGCCTGCTATGCAAGAAGTACGAAAGTTTGATAGATGAATACTTTATATAAGTTATATATACTTATTTTACTTTTTTTCTTTCAGGAATTTGATAGATTTGTTGTAGATTTCAATATGTTACACCATTTTCTCAAGTTGCCTTCAGATAACAAAATATATTTTTCTATAGTTAGTTTTTTTTTTAGTAAATTTTAAATGTTATGACCTGGAACTATTTTCTTATATTCCTTATGGATAAAAAATACATTCTTTCCATTATTTATTTTAAAAGAATATTTAGGCTTTTAAGATTTAGGACCATTTTCTCATGTTCTTTGTAGATAACCATTATTATAATTATTATATATTTTTGATAGCTCTGGCATCAAGAACCTGTGCTTGGAGTTCAAACCCGGATCATTGTCTATTTGACCCTACGGACAAGTTTTTAAAAAGAATGATAATATGCATAATAAAATATATATTTTACATGACAAGGTGGCAACGCCAAAATTCTTTTATGTTATACATTTAACAGGAAGATGAACTTGGTTGTAAATTGTTAAGGACAGATCAGCTAGAAACTCAGAAACTCAAGAAACTTGCATGGAGTATAATTGCGTTTGAAGGTGTTTGTTAAATTTGACAGGCAGATAATTCGCCTTGTAATGTAGAGTGAGCATATATTTAAAATACTTAATTAAGTGGGGTCATTAATTTGGAATTGAAAGTTTGAATAAAAAGAAATGCGCACCTGTTTCGTCTAAGCGATTGCCGCATTTTTGCCCTTTTGAAATTTTATCGATTTTACAATTTATTTATTTCTGTTAAGTTGAGTTGCTGCTGCCGCTGCGGCTGTCGCGCACACTGTAATTAATTTGATTTTAATGCCTTTTCAAGTGCTGCCGTCTTCTGCAATTGTGCACAAACTTTAATGACCGTCGCAGCAGACGTCGCGTTGCTAATTTTGCCAATTTGCAGGCAAATGTAGCCGCAACATTTGCTGCAACAGCAGCAACAACTTCAACATAAACCAAGCAAACGTGCGGCTTGTGGCAACGCCCACTCGGCCGGCAACTTAGGCTGCCACTCATTTGTAGCGCTACTTAAAAATTAATTTTGTTAATGAGTTTTTCACGGTGCTTCAGCTAGCAGCGAGGAACGTGCAACGTGCAACATGGCAAACTATTCACCTGCCTTGCCCTGCTGCGCTGTCAACTTGAATTCGTTATGCGAATGTTTTGCTCGCAAGTCTTTAAGACATGCGTTTTAACCTTTGTTTGCCTTTTTGCTTGTTTTCCTTTGTAGCGAGTCGCTGAGCGTGCAATGTTTCCACTGGGTTCTGACGCGCATGCAACATGACATGGACATGATTCAGTGCGACAAGAAGCAGGCGCGTCTCTGGGCCAAGCGCCTGCATGTGGCCCTTCTGGTAAGTAAATGCAATGCAGCTAGCTAAGCTTAAATCACAATTCAGTGTGTGTGTTCGTGTGTTTGTGTGTGTCTCTGTGTGTGTGCATTGTTGTTGTTTGCATTTGCCACTGTAAGTGCACTTCTGGGTGCACTTTACAAAATCTCAACGCCTCGCTTGAATCAAGGCTTAAAGCTTAAGCCAACTTCAACTGCCAACTGCTGCGGCCCAGCCTCGTTGTAAACCACATGTTCCGATTGAAGCTAAAACCCTTGCTTCTGTACAATATTTTGTATAAACTGGAGATTATAAAGCAAGCTTAAATATTTTGTAATGTTGGCAAAGAGGAATTCAAGTTACGTTTTCGTATATCGTGCTATATGAAACTACCAGGCGTTGCATGGATAGAACAGATTCTATCGTAATATTCTGTCTTCACTAATTCTTTTATATATGTAAAGATTCATATTTAATCTTTTTTTGCAAGCAGGCCAATTAAAAGTTTAATTAGATAGCCACTCAAGCTTATGTAAAATTTAAGTATTAAGTGTATAAACTGTTTATGAAACCAATTGGTCAATTGTAAGTAAATTAATTATAACTAAGATTATAAATTAATTGAAAGCATTTCGTGTCCTGAACTATGACATATCTTATAAAATAATCTCCTACGCCTTCGAGCAGTCCGGCAGCTGGCTTGGGTCCGCCAGCTGGGGAGAATAATCTGTTATTGAATTGAATTAATTTGGTTTAACTAATTGCAATGCATTTCACACTTGTACGCATGCTTCAAATAACTAATACGTTTGGCAGCTACGTTAAGACTTCATCAATATATATATGTATATATATCGTTTTAATTTAATTTTATTTCTTTTTCATTTATGCTTTAATTAAAGACATTCCAGGAATTGCTGCAAAGCCTGTTGGCACTGCAAAAACTGAAGGATGATGTGAACGCGCGTGGCCTGTTTGATATGTTATTGAACAATGTGTGCTATGTGCTGGAGTATCGGGAGACAATACTGCATTTGTTAATGAACTACAATGAGGCGCACAGCACAAAGTGAGTAACCAAGACGCAGCCGCATAACCGCATAACTATCTTCGAACCCTTCAAAACATATTGCAAATAACTTAGACGGAGACTGCCAGGCATGCCAGTAGGCAGCAGGCAGCAGGCATTAGGCATCAGGCAGCAGGCAGGCGTTAGCTAAGCATGGCTGGCTGCTTCTTGAGGGAGGATTGCGTTTTCATGAGATGGTCACAAATAACTAAGGCAAACACACACAGGCTAACGCTTAATAGGATTACCAATTGAAGCTGCTGCTAAGCCCGAAAATATGTATGCAGCTACTAACTGGAATTCTAAGCTCAGTGCCTGGCTAAAACCTTTCGACCCAATCGACAATCAGGCATTGTTTGTCTTGACGGCATGCCTTTGTCTTAAGTCTTGGCATGTTTGTTTGGCTATTTGCGCAGCTGTCTGTCTATGTGTGTGTGCTGGTGAGTGTGCGTGCTGGTGTGTGTGTGTGTGCAGCTGCAACAACAAATGAACTAGTTGCGCTTTGAATTTCGGCAGCCGGCGAAAACTTTAATTGATTTTACAAGCATGTGCTGCACGCGTGCTCTGGCATTAAAATTATAGCATTTGCCAACTTGCTGGCGGGCGGGACGGGGAGGTTAGAGAGACGTAGGGACTGTGCCACGCGGCTCATGTTTGTATACCCTCTGCCCATTGCAAAGAGCATATTAAAGTTGTGCCAAAGTATGTAACAGGCAGCATTTCCAGTGATTTATTTCTCAATTTCGCTTGTAGTCCCTAGTTTAATAATAAAAGGATTAGATTGACACAACTTGTGACACCTATAATGTTGGGTTCTGTACTGCACCAAGGTTTGCTATGTCAAGAATTGGCGCCATTTCCGAAACTCTCATAATGAGAGAATTTCGCACCAGTGGAGTGCTACCAGCATCTATTCTTATCCACCTAACATATTAAGTATCTATGCGATATCAAACGCCGAGCTGTTAAGGCCTTGGGCGTATGCCTGACTGTCAGTATGGAAACTCTCTTGGAAACTATTAGAGTTAAGGAGCAGACGAGCTCACAACAAACTATTTTTTCGATTCTTTCTCTATATCACTAATATCGATATATGTATATTGATGTTGAGGGGTTTTAACACAGCATGGAAACTATCAGAGCTAGGGAGACCTAATAAAAATCGCATCAACACCAATAATATGAAAGATAGTTCGGTTTAATCTGACGACAGCCCATCGACACAGGGTATCTCCCAGTCGACCATTCTCGACCAGACCACACTAACTTGTTTTTCGTATGGGATTCGCACCAGGGCTGCATTCTAATTGCCAAGTTAGTAACTGGCAGCCGTTAGGGTCGACATTGTTGCTACCCCTTAACTGATTTACATAGCTACTTACGCGCACTGCAGTTTTTACACTCATTAACAACACAGTCGTTTGCCAGGTGGTTGGATACTTCACTAAATAACTCAACTGTGGCTCAACTGCCGCCTCTTGTAACCCTCCGGATCGTGAATAGGAGGCAGCTACTGTAACTGTGAACCGAACGCGTGCCTGCACTTTCAATTGCCATTAGGTTGTGACGCTTAAAATTTGAGTTTTCACTCCCCAAGCTTTTATTTTTTACTTATTTTTCTTTTTGCTAACATATCCGAGCGAATCCCATTTAGATAATTGCAATTTTTCGTTGCTGCATATGTGAATTTTTAGCAAAGCGAAATTCCACTTGCATATTTCTAAACGGATGCACAAATTTGTCTGTCAAACAAACTGGCGCAATGTGCCGTAGTCTTATCTACCTGCAATAAATGACTGGAAAGTGTGTTTTTGTGTCACAGACACAGTCAACGGATGCAAACATAACTAAACAAACGCAAACTTCTACCATGGGAAATCAGCCATGTTATTTTCCAAAATGTACTCACACATCGCCGCCCACTCAGCTTTCAATAGTCAATATTAAATCCAAAGACTACGTTTCCCTATTAGCTCTTCAAGTCTCATGTGAGTTTGATTTTTAATTTGTTCAAACATGGCTTCAGCTTATGTTCAGCTTTTTGAAAAAAAAAAAATACATTTCATAAGCGCGCTCTCAGTTGACTTTCGTTCTCCTTAGAGTTTCTCCTTCGTAAGCTTTACACTGGCGTTGTCTTGCTTTATACTTGATATTCCGCACTAGATCTAGATTTAATATTCTTTGAAGACTTAAATGTTTAACTTTGAAGACTTAAATTTAAAGTTATATTTTTTCATGGCAAATAAATGAAAAAGATCTTCAGCAATCCAAAAATAGTTCCCCTACAGATTGTTTCAAACATAAAAAAAAAATCCAAATAATGTAGACACTTAACGAAAGTAAAAACAATGCCTGTGCATCGTTTACGAATGCACATAGTTAAAAGTTAAATGTTATTTTATGTGCTTCATTTAATTTGTCGATTCCTTCTCATGCCGCATTCGTAAACGATGCACAGGCATTGTTTTTACTTTCGTTAAGTGTCTACATTATTTGGATTTTTTTTTATGTTTGAAACAATCTGTAGGGGAACTATTTTTGGATTGCTGAAGATCTTTTTCATTTATTTGCCATGAAAAAATATAACTTTAAATTTAAGTCTTCAAAGTTTGGAGAGTTTAACAAAGATAATATATCGAATTATTTTTGGATAATATAGCTTTCATTTGGTTAATTGGTTCCACTGTGCGCTCTGTACACAAATCGCCGGCAATCTGTTGCCAATGATGGCTCGGGTTCAACGAGTCAGTCTCGATGAAGAGATGGACACAGATATAGACAGATATTAGATGGATTGCCGTGCAGTCGGCGCTCTCAAAAGCTCTGACTAAATTAATTTAGCGCACAAATAGGAAATTGACAGAGTGCGGCAATCGAGAAAATGCAGATACAAATACAGATTCGACGCGGATGAATGCACTGTTTGAGGCTTTCCAACTGGGAAATGCGATATGTGACGTGTGATATTATTGACAAAATTTCACTTTTTTTTCGAAAACAAGTTGAATATTTCGTGTATAGAATATACAAATTGTACCTCTGCTAAAAATGCCGGCTTCATACACTTTTACCGCTTGTCCATATTTAAATTTGATGCGCTTCTAGCTTTTTTGCGTGTCAAAGTTTTTAGTTGCTTTTATAGGCTTGGGCAGCGAAAAAGAGATACTCGATGCTGATTGGGAATATATATAAATATATTAAAAGTTAAAAATATGTACAGACTCTTAATGCTGATTGGAAATATATATAAATATATACAAGATTATGTTGATTATGATAATTTCTTAAAGTATATATATATTTTTATAGGCTTGACTATTATTTGTTTTTACATATATTAAACAGATATAATTTAGTTTACTATGCCTAAATATTTTAATTAATAAAATAGTCTGAGTTTTAAAAAAATATGATTCAGTTTGGGGCTTAATGCGAAAGACATTGCAACAGGCTGGAGCTCATGACAAGCATTTCACACGCGATCTAAAGTGTTGACACCTTCTAGAGCTCCCCTTTAGTCCTTTATATCAATTACTCTTGTTTTTCTTATTATTGCTTTTGCCCGAGTTTGATCAATTATTTGTTATCGCTTGTATCCAAACTTCAAGTTCCATACAAAGTTTAATAATTGTCCCAAACGGGAGCAGCTTTTAAATAAGGATGACATGTGGAGAAAAAAATAAAGTTTTAGTTCAATATTCGGCTATTCCTTGCAATATTTTAAATTAAGGGTTCTTTTCACGACCACTTTTGAACGACCAAGCGGACTTCACTTTATCTAACGAGTGAAAGAGTATCTGTCAGTCGATGGGCAAAATTAACTGATGTGTGACTGCTGCCGCGGGCAATTGGCGTGTTACTGAAGCGTTAATGTTGACACTCAAAAGTGCAGTGCAGCTGTCAAAAATGAGATGGATCGATTAAATATTAACTGGCGAATTATGCAAACCTATTTAGACATTGCTTTCAATTAATCTTTGCAATTAGCGATAAAAGTAAGTGCCGGCTGCCTTTTGAGCTGCAATCAGAACTTGAGTGCTTGTGAAATTGAAGCCTTTCGGCATTCGCATGAATTATTTATGAGCCTAGGCCACATTTCTAATGTGGGAGGGAGTGGCTGGGTGGTGTTTGGGCTTGGACTTGACGCTGGGTGGCTGCAATCAGCGCCCATCACTCATTGTGTGGTTGTTGTTGTTATTGTTGTTGCTGCCGCTGCCGCTGCTGCTGCTGTTGTGTTGCTGTCATATTTAATAATATTTTCATTATAAACGTCTTATGGCAACGAGCAGCGAGTAGCGAGCTCGCTAACCATTTGCCCTGCGACTGAGCGCAATTACATTTTATCATTTATTCAACATGCGCTCAAACTTGCCCCATCGACCCACCCATCCAACCACACTTTACGCCCAAGTCTTCTAATTAATTCTATGCGTTGCCCAACATTGTTGGCAGTATTGTTGTTGCTGTTGCTGTTGCTGTTATTGTTGCTGTTGTCCATTTAATCAGCGTAAACGCGAATATCAAATCAAGCAGCAGCAGTCGCTATGGCAGCAACAACAATGCGTGGCGAGCAGCAAACCGCGTGCATAACAAATTAATTATAAATAATTTATTAACGATTTATCTTTGTCTCATTTGGCAACACATGAGTTTGAGTTTCAGTGGGGGTGTGTGTGTGCAAGTGTGTGTGGCACTTTGAGTGTGGGAGCGCATCGAGTGGCATGATTGTCGCATCGTTGCAAGTTAGCTGAAATCGATTTGCTGCCTCCTGTAAAATGGTTTGTGGCATGCAATTTGTTATGCCGCACACACACAGCATATAGTGCCTCTCAGTCAAATGCTGCACCCGCATTCTACACACTGCGGTTACTTGGCGCTGCGGTCAGCAAACAGCAGCAGTCGCACCTGCCGCCTCCACCTTTCCGCCAAACCAACCAGCTTGGGGCACAGTCATTCAGGTGTCATCGAAAGACTATGTGCGCATTTTAATAACAGGGCTGCAAATTGGGTTTAATCGAATCGGAATTCCAATTCATTTCTGACTATGATCCGAAGCAAAACCGGAATCGGAACGCAATTTTTTTTTTAAATTTCTTTGCATAGAAGAACCTTTGAGGTAGAGGCCTTGCAATTAAAATCGAAAGCTTAAAACTTTTAAAATATATTTTGTTTCATTAATGTGAACTGAACCGAAAGGCAGCAAGCGGTTCGAACCGTAAGCCGAGCTACTTTTTAGCCTGAGCCTGCGTAGCCTGAGCTTAGCTAATTAAGATCTTAATTTTACTATCTTAATTTTATCCAGGTTGTAAACGGGGTTTGAAGCTTGCCGGTTCGAACCTTGAAATCAACATTGCAGCTGAATAAACATATGGAAAAATCAAAAAGTTAGGTTAAATTAATATTATTAAAAAGTTTTTTAAAGGGATTCAAACTTTGAGTCGGCAACTGACCAATTTATTCTCATCGGAGTTTTATTAAGAAATTTTCTAGTTCTTATTGAATAGAACTTGCGTCTTTTTGTAATAAGGATAGACTTATAAACTTAATTCAATTTAAATCTGTGCCCTGTATTTCACAACATTAAATCACTGTGCATCAATTTTTACGCTCCACTTGCCAATAGCCGCAGCCACTGACAGCGTTGTGGTAGGTGCAGCAATTGCTGGGGATGGATTGCATTGTATATGAGTTATAATCAACAGGACAGTCGATGCAAATGGGTGGTTTTGATGAACCACATGCACTATCTGGCATATTCTCAGGGACAAAGGCTGCGTTTTATCAGCAAATTGCAGGCGCTACATATAATACCTAGTGTTAGGCAGAGAGCGTGTGTGTTAAAAGATCGATAATAGTAAAATTATGTTAAGCTATGCTAAAGGCACAATTATTTTATCAGAATGAAACCTTCTAAGAAGAAGGGTACACTAGTCGAGTGTCAAAGATGTGCAGATTCTTTATCAGAAAATTGCAGGCGTTACCTATGATACTTAGTGTTGGAAAATGTTTGAACTAGAATGCTAGTGGGCTTAAAGATAAAGATTGATAATAGTACACTATTCGAGTGGGCATAATTAGCAGTTAATATGATAACTAGTGTTGGGAAATGCCTGAGGTAGAATATATGTCTGCTTAAAGAATGATAAAAGTTTATATATTATTAGCTTATATATTTTTCGTTAAACGCAAAATTATGTTTACATAATGAAACCATCGTATATTGGCCGAGAGGGCACGATTAACCGATACTTTATTAGAAAACAGCAGGCGCTACCTATGACACTAGTGTTAGAAAATGCATAAAATAGAATGTTAGTGTGCATTGATAATATTTACTATGCTAAAAGCAAAATTATGTTAACACAATCAAACCGGATAACAATTAAAAGTGCACTAATCGAGAGTACACGTTTAAAAGATACCCTTAACGAAACCTTTTCAGGACCTTTTAAAATAATGTAGCTTCCAGCTCTAGTCTCAGATCTATCTTCTTTTTGTCTGTTACATATATTTGCACAGCTTTATATTATATTTTTATATTATTATTAATTATTATTATTATTATTATTTTTATTATTATTATTATTATTATTATTATTATTATTATTAGTATTATTGTTATTATTATTATTATTATTATTATTATTATTATTATTATTATTATTATTATTATAATAATTATTATAATTTTAAATATTGTTATTATTATATTATTATACTCCTTTCTGTCCATTTTAAATGTAGATTGGGTATTCAAAATGGATTTTATTCAGCTATTCAGCTATTTTCAATATACCCTTTAAATGTTCTATTGCAAAATCTTTGATTTATTTTGCTAAATGATTATTCCTAATGCTACCTAGGTATGTAGGCGGCTTGGTGTATGCCTGGCTGTGTGAGGGTGTGTATGCTGACAGGCAATTTCATTACAAATGCGTTTCCCTTGGCACAGCCTCGGAGGCTCGTCCTGTGGCATATTGACCGCATTTCGGATTATTCTGCGAGTTTCTAGCGGCGTCTATTTAAATTCGCAATGAATTTGCATAAATTTTTAACTCTGTAGCGTCGAGCGGTGACCTTTTTTGGGAATTGTATTTTCGCTGACAACACGTCGCAAAGTTTTTGCAAAGCTTTTCATACCCTCTACAAGTTGATAAACAGGGACAAACAGGCGGCGGTAGGCATCAGATGAAAAATATTGTACAGCGACATTCGAACCACTTAAACGGGAGTATAGGGTATTTACTGACGGAGCTCACACCTCTGAACTATTTTGACTTTTCATATATTTGCCAGTTGGGCCGACAATCGATCAGCGCTGGCAATTAGAGTGCGCGCCGAAGAACCTCGTACACAAGGATATTTCCGCACATATGCAAATATTGCAAAATCATGTTTGAAGAGAATTTTAACAATAGCCGTGTATTCAACGCATTACGGCAATAATTTTTTTTATGTTTGGCAATTTAGCCATTTGAATACCCTGCTATATTAAGTCGAAAGAATTCTTGAATTGTGTTTGTGTAAGTAGTATATTTTTGAATGTTAGAGATAGACAGAAGCGAGCGATTGCTATTGATGATTCTTAATTAATATGGGTGCTCACACTCATACAGTATGAATCGAATAGACTATCGATTGCTGTGGAAAATATTTTACTGATATCGACGAAACTCTAACGATGAAAAAACAGCAAACATCAAAGAGACTATCGATCACCTTTGATATCAAATGATAAATGATTGCCAATCGCAATCGATTAAACTATCGCTTACTATCGAAAGGCAGTTACCCGAGTTGTAGAGATAACGTACAGTTTGTAGCCAGATATAATAAACAGGGTGTGCGCTTAAGAGTCGATTGTTTTATGCCCACATTTTAAGCAATGGGCATTTTGTAGCCTATCATATAAACGCCGCCTGTGCTTAGCCTTGTTGGCATTGTCCTTTTCTATGACGCGCGCGATTTTCATTATTCAAACGGCAATCAATCATTTTAACAAATTGACGTGCACAATGACGTTGGCTTTTTATTCGGTAATTTTTCGTTGCTGGTTTTTTTTTTTTATTCTCGGTTTGGTTAAAAACAATGCCAAAGTTTTGCCAGTTGTCGGCTGCGCGGCAGCTGATTTTGACATCCTGTTGCCTTCCCCGTTTTTTCTTCTTCCCAATTTCCCTTTTAAGGTTAATTTGCTAATTGGAGGCGTCATCGGCATTGACAGGGCCAACGGCAACGGCAATGGCTATGACTATGGCCACATCATCAGTCAACGACATCCTTTGAATTAGGTTGGGCTAGTTAAGTTAGGCTCAAAGTTGCCAAAGGACCAGGGAGGGGTCTAAAATGTGGTTGCTTTCGCTTAGCTGTTTTAATGTGCTCGATGATTTTCAATAAATATTCACAGCAGCCGTTTGGCTAGAGCTTGTTGGGAAGATGAATACATATATATATTTTTTATAGCTACGGTAAAGGCCGTATTGAATTTTTAGTCCATTTGGGGTGTCAGATGTTCTTAATAAAGTTCTGATAAATACTTTGTATTGTTTTCAAAAACACGTAAAATGTTTGTAATCGGTGGAGTTTTGACTGAGTCTAGAATCTATGAATTCTGAGCAACTTAAAATGTATGAAATTTTCTGGTCAGAAGCTATTATATGATTCTAAATTCTAGCAATATAATGAATTTGAATTTAGAAGTACCCAAAGGTTTTTAATGGGCTACAATTGAATTATATGTCGCAGTACACATGCCCCTCATTAGCAAAAGATTGTTATTTGCTTTAAGCTAAGGCCATAGAAAATATATTAGCAAGTGAAATGGTTTATTATTTGTTCTTTTAATGCATCGGATGTTAACCTTTTGTATCTATAGGTCCATGGTAAAAGATTGTTGTGCATATAAAATGCAATTGCCGCATTTAATTGAATTTTCAACATGTGTGGTCATAAACATATATATACTGTTTTTTTTTGTAGTTTTTTAATTCAATTTTACAACATAAAATAAATAATTTAATTACCGCATGCATATGCAATAATTTTATTTGCTAACCAACCATTCTCTACCCCTGACAGGGTATTTCTACGTGACGTTGTGGAAACGGCAAATGTATTTATTAAAATGATGGAGCGCTTCTGTCAGGATGCAGTTGTCGTCCAGGACAAGCGGCGAGCCGGCGGTGGCAAGCGCAACGCTGGCAACAGCAAGAAGAAGCAGCAGCAGGCCAGCAAATCGAAGCACTCACAGCCAACGGAGGTGAGTCCAAACACCAAAGTTCCGAGGATAATTAAAATTTTTAATGCTGATAAATAAATTTCTGCATTAAATGACATTATTTGGCTTGCGGGCGTTGCCCACCCGCTGTGTGCGCTATAAAATATTCTCTAAATTGCCAATAAAATTTAAAATAAATAGCTAAAAGCGCCCAGCCACTGGTCGGGTCAAAAAACAATTGTCGTCTAGTATAGAGCAGCTAGCGCGAGCAAGATTTATAGGTTTGATCATGAAATTTAATTGACTGAAAATATGGTTAAAATAAAATAAAGTTCGCCACCGACGCAGCGACAACGCGGCTGGTGGTTGCATTTAATTGCCGGCTTCTTTATTTATTTATGTTCTAGTCAGTTTTGCCATTTATAACGGAGAGTGCTTTGTACACATTCCAATTGGCATTAATCTTCTATGCAATTTATTTTAAAATGTCGAAGTATATTAAAGTCCACTCGAATACTCGAATAAACAGATTAAATACAATTTTGACATGACTCTCAGCTGCATGCTATAAACTTGACTACTACACAAGCGGTAGATTAAACGAATATCACATTATCGATAGGCTCATCTAACGATAGATTCATAGCAGTATTAGACATGTGCATATTCGCAATATCTTACAGTAGATTTATTAGAAAGTGATTAAATCATCTTTTTACTATCGAAAATAATCGATAGTTTTGCATTCGGCTTATAGATAATTAAAATCTCAGACATGAGCTTGCACAAAAAATAAAAATTTGTGTTCCACAGTTTTGAGATTTTAAAAAGCCACAGATTTAGTGTGACGTCAATGAATATGCGAAATATGAAACCATTCATCTCAATCTACATCGAACTACAGAACTACAGTCGATTCTTTTCATACCTTTGACGCAGCAAGAGTTCTTAAATATTTAGCAAATAGCAAACGAGTACATATCTTATAGTCGATAGTATTCTGAAATAAGAACTGGCACAGGGCAAACGAATCTGTTTCATTTCTAACTTTTTTAAACTTTGTCCATTTGACTTAATTCACCCTTCCTGTTATATCCAATATTGATGCCTGGTTTATGACAAAAAAAAAAAACTATAAAAGAAAAATTTAGAGATTCGATTATAACTACTGTCACTAGTTTTGAAAGCAGTTCATTGTGTGTGATATCAATATGCGTGCGAAATATGATACCATTTAACTCAATCTATATCGATTGTTCCAAAATGTAAAACATGCATGCAGTCGAAAATATTCAGCAATTAGCAAACGAATACATATTTTAAAGTCTGTTACAACAACACTTTTATATACTGTATAGGGTATTTGCATTTCGTTTTTCTTGCATGCATAATAAACTCTTCAGACCAAGCTCTGCCATTGTTTCAGCAGCTCTATTTTCGCTTTTAAACATTTTGGCGCGTTGGCAGCGCCATCAAGCGTGATTTCCGGCCAATGCCAACACTTGGCAGTTTTTCTACACCCCCTTAAACCACCCGACCCCCAGCTACCCAGAAGTTTGCATTGTGCGGCTCTGTGGCCGCCATTTTGTGTGTGGTCCGAATTCCGGACGGACATGTGCTCGTGTTTTTTATGAAAACCTTTAACTGTGCTAATTTTTGACATATTTATTTGCACAGCCGTTGCATGGGTTTTCCTGTTCTTTGTTACCCACACACACACACACACACACACACACACACACCGCAACACACACACCTTTATACACGCAATTTGTGCGTCAATTAATTTGTAAAATTCGAACAAGCGGCATTTGTTAAAGTGCCAACAAACAAGTTTCACGCACGAATTCACAAATATTAAACAGCTTTTGTCTGCACAGTTTTCTATAAATGTTGTTAAAATAACACGAAAAAAATGGAAGGAAAAAACGTATAATAAAATAAATAAAAATGATATTTATAAAGCAGTGGCAATTATGTTCGAAAAAAAGTGTATTTAAAAAAATATAAATTTAGTATTTATGGATATATATGTAGTATGTAGTATGGAATTACAATTGGAATGTATGCCAACGGGCTTGCCATCGATAGAAATCACATTGTTAACATGCTCGATAAGGACAGGAGGACAGACCAGATGCCTGTATACATATATAAAGCAGCTTTGACAGAAAACAGAATTTCGACGAGTAAATGAACAATTATTTTTTTGTGCAAATAATTAAACCAGAAAGCATTTGTTTAACATTTGCATTGCCGCCAAAGAAAATCGAGAGAGAAGGGCGATTTTCGGCACGCCGAAGATGTATTGAATCTATTGCAGATGCTTCGCCCGTATCTAAGAAGCACAGGGAAAATAGTAATGCCGACTATTGTTAAAATATTTTGAAAAACAGCTACTTTTTCATATAAGAACCTCATTTTTAACCGATCGATCTTGTGACAGCTATATAATATAGTTCCGAAATATGTACTGCGTGCAACAGAAAAAGGGACATCTGCAAAGATTCGCATAGAAACTGACAGACTTACAGACGGACATGGCTATATAGACTCGGCTGTTGATACTGATCAAAAATATATATACTTAATGGAGTCGGAGATGCGTTAAGAGATGCATTTTGAGACCATATTATAATACTCTCTACACCAGAGAAAGCTTTAATGTATATTCTAGATCAGCCGAGTTGATAGCCATGCCTGTCTGTTTCTATGTGAACTAGTCTCTCAGTTGTAAAGCTAACGTCTTGAAACTTTGCATGTGTCTGTCTTTCTGTTGCAGGCATAACAGTAAGGCAAATGTCTATACGGGTATTAAATCTTTGGCGTGCCGAAGATACCCTCACTTTCTTCTTTTAATTATATATTCTGTGCACTTACAGGAGGAACTCTCTAGCAAATGGGCCGAAATGGCATCGGAGGTTAGTCTGTTGCTTGCAACAGATCTGCAATTGCCGAAGGAGCAGCATCCCTTGCCATTTGATGCCACCTTGGAGAAGTCCATCGAAGATCAACGGTTGGTATTGCAGAATAATTCAGGAATTTTCTTTTTTAATCTATATATCCATTTTGTGCTTGCAGCGAGGATTGCATGATGCGCATAAATAAGTTGCTGCGTAACGGTAAATTGGAGCCGGCGATTGCATTGCTGCGTGCTGCCAGGTGAGTGTTCCGTGCGTCAGTTCGTCCTGGCGACTGGCACGTGGGAGAATTGAGGCACTGTCCTTGTCGCTACCTTCAAATTGAGCAACAACTTGCAGCCCGTAATCCTTTTGAAAATTCCGTCCTTTAACAACTTGACATTGACTGTGAGCCATTGTGCGCCAGCGCTTTCAACGTACAAAAGAAAATGCGCATAATAAATTAACTCAGGTAAAGAAAATGGGTTGGGTTGCATTTTCCCCTGTGCTGTTGTTATTTTGGTAGAGCTTTTCCTTTTTTATTTTATCGTTTTTTACGTTCTCCGTTTTATATGCGAATTTCATATTTTGCACAGCAATTTTCTGGCACAAACTGTCCTTGGTCGAGCAGCTTCCTCTCACTCAATCTCGCTGCTGTCCTTAAATTAAATAGTTTTTATTTATTGTTAAGGCAGCGCACGCCCGCAGCCCGGCAGGGCTTCAACTGGCCAGGTGGCTGTGGCAACGACAGATAATGCCAGGGCACGGAATTTGGTCTCCTTCTGTTGCTCCTCCCGCTCATTATGTGCCATCAACTGTGTCACTGATTTTGGCTCCCGCTTGGCTGCTGTGTCAGAGTAGGGTTCAAGGCGGCGGCCTTTCGATTTAATTGCCAGCTCAATTATGTAAAGCCCACAATGTTTATTGTTTGTGCTGAGGAAAATTACGTGAAAATAAATAATTTACTTTCTTGCGCGTCAACATGTTAACTGTACAGACAACAAACGACCGTCTCCCCCCACACACAAGATGTGAGATGACGCCGATGTCAAAGGCTGTTGCCGTTGGCTGGCAGCAGCAATCAAAATTTAACTTAAATATTTCCAACTCATTTATTTATCAACATCATTAAAATATTCAACATGATGCACGTTGGGCCACTATACTGACAATTTCTTTGCGAAAATCATGCTGTGTCAAAGAACGCAATTGCTGTCTGAGTTTCTGAGAGCCCAATTACATAGCTTGAGTGCGGTGTACCAGGTTTGAATACTCTATCCTGAAATGTGTGTTTAAAAGAGCATAGTAAACTGTGAGAGTGTACGACACTGAAGAGAAAGCTTTACGCTAAAAAAGCTTTTAAATTCACTTTTTAGATAAAAATCGATTACCAAAATCTAGTATTGTAGTACTGGAACTGGAAACAAAACATTTTATATTTTTTACCCGAATAAACGCGTTTATACCTTTTTTAATTAATCAACCATGCCATCAACAAACCATACACAAATCAATGGATGTCGCTCAACCGTATTGATAAAACTATTGTCAATCACCGAATATTAATTATTTTCAAATCACTCAATCATCATTATTGGCTACAGGGTATATGCACGTCAAGCCTACGTGCGTTTTAAAATCTCTAAACCAATCTAACAAATCGATAAGTATCGATAGCATAACTAAATTTATTTTAGAGCTACAAACACTACTTGTGTGTCATACACAGATCAATAAATCAATGTCCAATATCGTTTATTTTTAAGATAAGACGTTGTTTTTTGTCGCCCAAATTTTAATTTGCCATCTTCGACTTATTTAACGGGGTAAGAGGTATATGTACGTCCAGCAACCGTATTGGTTTCTGTACCTACGCATAAAAGCTTTGTCAATCGTCAAGTATTGGAACGAAACAATAGAATTTAAGATGCTCTTGATTGTATAGCCAATGCCATTGTCGCGTGCTTTATATGGCGTATACGCAATTTTCTCATTGTAATGCTTCATTTAAATTTATGTGCATTTTAATTGTTGCCAAAGAAATTGTTGCATTAAAATGTATGAAGCGGCAGTTGTTCTTGTTGCCGTTGTTGCTGCTGCTGCTGCCATTGCAGGCAGCTTAAAAAGGTCTAGACGGTTTTTGTGCTAATAAATTAAAATGCGATATGCATAGACCCTGAAAGCGCACCCACTTGCAGCCACTCGCACCCACTCGACTGCCTTTTGTCTGCAACTTTTTGCACTCCAGGTCGTGGGGAGTTATGCTGTATACGTTTTTTGCTGTCTTTGCGAGAAATTTTTGGGTAAACAAAATATTGAAAATAAACTAGAGTATGGAACTCTATACTCACACACCGCACACACAAACACACACACGAAAATGAACAAACGAATGCTCTGCATACATATGTGTTTCGGCTGGCATATAAGTGCCAGCTAGCTCTTGCCCTTCAAGACCTCAAGTCTGTGTGCGCGCGGCTGTGTTTGCCCAGCATTTTTAGATACTTGCCAAGTCATACTATTCCATGCATATAGAAATATTTATTTTTGTTTGGTTTCATTTTTATTTTTTTTTGGTTTCCATTTTAATAACGAAATAAAAAGGAGCGCAAAAAAAATGAAACTGAAAACGTTTTGGTTTTTGCTTCTTCGCCCGGCGGCTGGCGCACAGAAATGTCAGCTTGAAAAACTTTTAAGTGAAGTAAATGCGCAAAATGTTTATTCAAACTTCATTTAAGCTGCAACTTTCAGTCGGCTATTCCGTGCCCATACCCACTTCCACCCTTCTCCACACCTCTTACACCCTTCCGCAGCGGCGTTTGCCCTGTTGCCTCTTAACGAAGCTTATGTTCAGCAGCGTCTGTGGTTGTTGTTGCTGTAGCTGTTGCTGCAGCTGCTTCTTAGCTTATTTAGCAATGTTGTAATGTTGACAGTCACTATTTTGCATTTAAAGCTCTTAAGCTGAATTGTAGAGCACGTTTAACCAATTTATCGGGTTCTGCTAGAAGTTTTCCAAGAAATCGCAATATAAAACTGAAAATTGATTGTTTTGTATTATGATTTGTGCTTTTTAACCAAAAAATAAAAGTTTGCTTTTTTTTTATTTTTCTCATATTTAAATACTTTTTTTATTTTAAGAAATAAGATAAATAAAAATCAGATTCAGAGCTTAAGAAATGTTCGTTTCTTGCTTAATACTTGAGTATAGGGTATTCCGCAGACATCAGGCCTGATAAGATAAGGTCTGATCTTGCGTCTCTTCCTATATTATACCTTTATTTAATTTTACCCTGTAACATGTGCAAAAGTGAAAAAAGAGAGTTTTTAAATTATATTTGAAATGAAATTGTTGGTAATGGGTTCAGGTTATAAAAAGAAAAGGAGTATTTTTTCCTTTTCGTATTGTTCTTTTTTTTTTTTTTTTGTAACTTAACTTCATTTGGTTTAGTTTAATAAATAATTAGATTAATTAAATGTTTAAAAAAATTAATTTCTAAACACCTTAAATTCTTATTAGCTATGACATAATTTTTCAGTGCAGGGAAGCAGAGTTAGAAAGCATATAGGGCCTAAATATTTTTCAAGGAAACAACAAAATACTTTAGCTACAGGGAAGATTCTAGTCGATCACTCTATACTATTCAGTCATGTTAGTTGCTACTAATCAATTCCTGCGGCTTCCATTATCACATTTGTGACAGTTACACTTGCAATTTGTAGTCCACAGTCCATTTAGCTGGTTGATTCTCTGAAGTCGTTTAATTATATATAGATATATGTATGCGCACATTTGTAGCATTAGGCACAGTTATGGGTTGAACTCGATGCGTGTAAACTGTACTGGGAGCCCCTACTTTATCGATATCACAAAAAAGCCACATTTGGTATACCTGGCTGTATAATTAACCATATTTTGGGGCACAAATCTGTCACAGAAAGCCACTAATTGGCCAGGTTGTCAGGTTTGTTGTTACCAAACAGTCAAAGCGCAAAAGTTGCGCATAAATTATGTGGCATAAGTTTCGAATGAATCCGTAATGCAGGCCAGCATCCTTGCAGCGGCAATTAGTAGTTTACCATTATTCTTGCCAACATGGGAGGCCCCCACACCTCCCAGCAAAATGGGTAAACTATTTGTTATGCAAAAATTTGTAAAATAGTTTTTATGTGTTGCTGCGGGAGCGAGAGGTGTGCGTGAATTTGTGGGTCTATGTGTGTGTGTGGCGTGTGGCATGTGGTATGTCTGTCAATTTATTGGCTCTCGACGGTGGCAAACATAAGTTGCGCTATCGCCAGCAAACACAACGCGGCAACATGCCATCCATTTGAAATGGCCCCAGAGCTGCAACGCTGCCTGCTTGCCACCGATATGGCCAGAGACGCAGCAACCGATGCCAAGCATGTTGCCACCACAGTCGATAAACATGTATGCCTCGCATTCTCTTTCTCTCTCCCTCTGTCTCTCTCTCTCTCCCTCTCTCTCTATTTAGTCTCTCGCGCTGTTTTAGACTCTTTCTATCTGTGGGCGAGTTGTATATTAAGCTGCTTCCAAATATTAAATTAACAGCAACAGCAACGCCAACGACGCAGAGTCTGGACGCAGAGTCTGGTGCGTGCAGCATACACATACATAGCGGCACGCGAGGATTATTTGTGTGCTGCACCAAAAATTTGGCCCCAAGTGCAACACGGTGTGCACAAAACACGTGACGCAAGAAGTTGCCATTGCCACTAGCTGAGCTCTCCATTTTGTGTGTGTGCGCGCCTGTGTGTGTGGGGGTGTGCATGTGTGCAACACAAATTTTAACGCAATTTTAAGCGCATCAATTTCATTTTGTGAAAGCTAAAAGCTTCGCTTGTTGCGTGCCCTGCATCCGCATCGAGCAATATGACGTGGACGCTGGTTATTGTCGTTGTTTAAGTGCTCTTCTGCTTGATGTTATTAATGTTGTTGTTGTTGCTTTGTTATATGAAATCGCGTCAGTTGTTATGGAATATAGGCCACGGCTGAAGGTGGACTTTTATCGTTGTGCAAGATTTTAATTGGATCGATTTATGCCCCTTATAGGCTGTGCCTGGTAATGGAAACTAAAATCAAGCCTAGTTACTGTTTTTAAGAAGACTTAACTTTATCTTTATCTATAACTATTACTATCTCTATATCGTATTTTCTTTTCATTTGGCAATAAAGCTTTATTTTCTAATCCAACAGGGAAGTCTGGCCGGAGGAGGACGTATTTGGATCATACACTGCGGCACCGGAGGATGAATTGTTGTTGTTGCGTGAGATTTTTATGCACAACATTACAACAGGTGAGTGGAAACAGGTCTTAATGCTGATTTCAGCTTGTTAATTATGGTTTATTGTTATGCATTATGAAGCGACATGCTGGTCGCGCTTTTAATTAAAAATTAAAATATGCCACTTGGCATTTGGGTGTCATTTATCTTGCAGTATTTCGGCTCTCTCTCTCTCTCTCTCTTTCTCTCTCTCTCTCTCTCTCTCTCTCTCTCTCTCTCTAGCTACCGCATTTCTCTAGCTAATTTTAGCGCTCTATTTTGCATTTCTACCCTATAAATTTGTTGGCTAAAATAAGCCAAATTATAGCGCAAACTTTTAGCAATGGCGTTTTACTCTCTCCCCCTCCCATTCTTTCTCTCTTTGCTTAAATCTCTGCCCCTAAACCTTCTCTGCCCCAGTTTGTATCCTTGTTGCAGTGTGCTGGCTGCTCCGTCCTAAGTTTTTCTGCGCTGGCTCCTTTTGGCTTTTTGCCTTTTGGCTGTCCCGCGCTTAACAAATTATCCAGCAGAAATTCTTGCGCTTCATTAAAAGTAAAAAATGGCAGCACAGGACGACTGCCCAATGCACAGCAGCTGCCCCAGCTCCTGCCCCTGCCCAAACCATTCGGCCATTTGCCGAGCTCTGTAATTCAGTAGTCAAAAGCGAGACTCTGCTCTGCCAAATGAAAATATATTAAACGCGTAATTGTTTTTTTCAGTTTGTTCTTGTTTTTGTTTTCTTCATCGCGTTGGATGCTCTGCCAAGTGCATTGGGTTGTAAAATTTGTTGTTTGCCTTGTCGCTTCGTTCAATTCGAAATGTCTAGGCAACATTCGCAATTTACCGTCCATTTCCTTGGCCCATGGCAATATTCAGCTTGGCTTACGCAACGCAACACGCTGACATGACTTTTCAATTTTCAGGCGATTTTCAGGTTTTTGTTTTTTTTTATATGCATCTCAAAGTTGCCACACGCCACTCACACTCACATATATATTTATATGCCACATATATGGTTATATTCTATATGACTTATCGCTGTCGATGCAGTTGCTGTGCTGCTGCACACCTGGCAGCAAAGTTTTTGACAAGCATTTTAAAACACATCCATGGCTGACAGTTTTTTTCTTTTCTTTCCATAAAATACGAGCATATATGCTGCATACAGATAATACTTTAGGGGGAAGATTGTGCAATGAAAAGACCTTAGCAACGGCAAAGTTTTCAGCTTTGCTGCACCTTGCAGATTATCTTTGTTCTTTGTACCTTTTTTATTTTTTGTTCGGATAATTTATGATTTCGTTGTTGAAGAAAAGTTATATGATTGTGTTTTAAAAGTAGCTTTTATAATAATACATTTTTATTAGTCTTTACATTATATACTTCCATAAATTGTACTATAATTTCTTCTTAAATAGACACTTTAAAATTTTTAATTATGCTTGTCCTGACTGACAGAGTGACTGACTTACGTTTTCGCATGTAATTTTGTATGTATAGGCAAGCAAATATCGCCCTACTCTGTGATTCTCATGCTTTAACGCATGTACTTTTGTATATATTTTTGCATGTACATAATTACATTTTTATATGTATGTAGGCATGTATATGTGCTCTCTTATAAGAAACGCAGCCCAAATTTACTGTCCACTACGCTGCAAATAAAATAATTGAATGAAGTTTTAAGTATTGCCCTACTATGCAATTCTCACCAAGTAGGTTATGAGTGTGACATAAACAACAACATGTTTTGTCAATCTAATAAGCTGTATCTGCTGAATTAGATGTTGAAGAGCTGCTGCCAGTATTAAATTCTCTAAATATACAGAAAACCAATTGAAATATAAGACCTAAATACTTGTATTTTACTTATATCATATAGTCCTGTAAGAGTAATTAATTCTATGCATTTTACCAATATAGAGGACCGGTTAAAAATGAGTTTTTGCAGCCTGAAATTGTTTAGACCGCTGCTGTCTGTGCCTTGAAGCGCCGGGCTAAACTGTCCTTTGCGTCCCATTGTCCAGATAAAAGAGAACACGTCTAGCTTAAAGCGTTGCGAACCCTTTTGTGTCTGCGTCATTGTTTTAAGCGTTGAGCTCGTTAAGCCCCAGACAAAAACCGCGCCGCCTTCTAACTGCTGCGATGGGGGGATATGCTGGCCAGCTTAACGCCCTCAGGCAGCCAATAGATTGATGGTCGGTTGACAGTAACCCGACTATAAAAATGTGCAATCTACATACATGCCCGAGTTCCAGGCATAAAAAACAGTTCAATATTTATTGGACAAGTGTGCGTGACTTGGTAATGCCCTGTATACTGTGAGGTATTTATTTATTTAATTCACAAAAGGCCAATTTTCCAACGTCCCAATATACCCTTTGAGCCAGAAAATCTGGTAATGAAAATTTCGTTATCATAGTAGACAAATATGAAAAACCGTTCATAGTAGTTTTAAAAACGCGTTGGTTAAAGTAAAAAAATAAATAAATAAATTAATAGAGCACAATAAAACTGGATAAATAATACGATACAAAAGTGTGAAAATATACAAGTATTTTATATATTCTTATCCACTGAAATGTTTATAGAGATGGGTGCGTGATATTTTTATTAAAAACGGTTTTAAGGAGTGCTGGTGTTGGAGTAAAAGAATGTGATTTTCTACGATACATTGTATTAAATTTGTATTTTGTGCTTATCACGGTCTTATGCTTGATGCAAAGAGACGTTTTGCGACTCTCTCAACTCCAAGGATGTATTAAATATTATAAAATGTATATTTAAACGATATTATATGCTTGCAAATGTAGGCTCATAAATCGCATCCGTATTCTAGCTCGTGCTTGGCACATTGTATTTTATTAAATTCCGATTGGTAAACACGACTCACTCGTATTTATATTTAGCGAAGACAAAGTATTTTTAAATATATATGATGATTTTTTATACTGCTTATGGAAAATCATAAATGTCGTGCTTATTCTGACCCGTGCGTAACACATTATATTGTGTTCAAATCCGATTGGAAAGACACGACAGATGCGTACCTATACTCATGAATATATATTATTTATATATATAATACTTCAATACTCTCATAAATAATCCAAAAAATATATATATATTCTCTTTAGGAGAGAACATACACTTCGTGAGTGTTCGGCTTCGTGTTGAGCATAATGCTTAGTGCTGAAACACGACCTACGTCCAGCTCTGCATAAAGTATACTCATGAATTCATTTAAATGTATTTAATACCATTAACAATAAGCCGTTTTATGTTTATTTATGCTCTAGGGTATTTGAATAATAGAAATATTAAATGATGCAGCTAATGTGGAGCCATGGGAGAGACGCGTCGCCAGGTCCCCAAAGTGTCCTTTGATCAGTCTGCGTTCGGGTTTTGCGCCGACGTGGATTTTATTAATTACCAGCGACCACAAACTGCATGTTGCAAGTGGCCTGTGGTTTTCGTTTAATTAACATTGTTTTTTTTTTCGCAATGCTTGTTTGCCCAGTGCTTTTTTTTTGTTTTTATTTTTATTCACGCAGGCAAATAAAAGCTGAACTGGCATTTAAAATTATTTATGGCGTCTGCCTATTGTTGCTTGTGCTGAGCGTGTGTGTGCGTGTGAGCATTGTGCATTGTTTCACTTTTAATTTCCATTTCAATTGAATTAAATTGAATGTGGCCCATGACAGGCAGCGGGCCATACGCTTAGTTAAATCTTAATCAAGTTTTTGCTTTGCTGATTTCGATTTGTGGCGCGCATAATAAATGATGATAATCCCATGTACCCACCCGCCGCGTCCTGTGAAGCGCCTAAGTTAAATCAGCACGAAAAAATAACACAAAAATCCACTCAAGTGGTAAAGAAAAAGTGCAGAGTGTTAACGGTAGACAGCAGCGTGTGGAGTATATATATATATATATGTATATATGTACATTTGAAGCCAAGTTCTTAACTGATTTCCCAACGCAAACAAGTTGGTCGCCTCGTTGTCCTGCAAGAGTCCTTTTGCTCTGTCGTCGTTTGTCTCGCATAAAAATACAAAGTTTATGTTATGAACACAAATAAAAACAAAAGCACAGAACAAAACTCAGCAAGAACAACACAAAAGTGCGCGTGTTGTTGTTGAAAAAAGAGCGAATAAAATACAATAAAAACAAATAAAATATACACAGAACACGCTTGCACGACACATACACACACACACGCCCAGTACATTTGCAACTTGACACAGCTTCAACTGCTGCCACAGTTGAAAAGGAAGCGCCGCAGCCACAGCTAAAGCTAAAGCCACTTACTCGCACGAATGTATGCGCGCGTGTGTGTGTGTGTATGTGTGTGAGTGTGTGTTTGTACTTGGAGCAGTAGCAGACCAGGATCCCCATTTGCCGGGTCCTGCAAAGGATACTTACTCAATTAGGTGACACGAACTGGCGCTGACTTGTCACAGATTTCAGTTGAGGCTTTGCCATGGCCAAGTTCTACCGCCCCTTTGGCTCTTAATAGCTTCAATTTGTTTATGATCACTGGGTTAGGGCATTGTTTTCATATCTTGTCGGGGATTTAAATTGTGTTGTTCCAATCAATGCATTAATTATTTTACTAGCTGCAGTAATTTGTTTAAATAAATTGTGTTGCTAATTATATTAAATTACTTTAACAAACGAAGAGAATTAAAATAAACACAACATATTTTGAAAAGTCATGCGTTGATAAATACCCACAAATCTAATAAGAGGTTTCGTACTTTTAATCAATAATGAAACTAAATTTTTTTATTTTTATGCATTCTCTTAAAAGTATATTTTTTCGTTCGAGTTAAAAAAATATCTCGGTTCAGGTTTAGTTGAATTATATTTATATCTTTTTTTTAAGTTTTTTTTTGTTAATATTACTTACTTAGTTTCTTTTGTTTTAATTTCTTGGCTATTTGTTTTTATGCTCTTACCTTTGTCGTACCCTTGTAAACGGTATTATAATTTTGTGATGAGCTGTGTAACCCATACGAAACATCTCGGAC